TTGGGTGCAAAAAGGGCGTATAAATTGGTTTTGAAAAACATTATTATTTAATAGTTAATTGCAACTTTCCCTTAATTTTACACTTTAATTTGATAGCTTAATAGTGGACTAATTAAATAAAAAATAGTTTATTTAATTTGCATGCACAGTTTTCGGGCTTTTAAAGTTTAAAAACTTTAACATGAAATATATCCGTTCGTCGTTTTTTGTTATACGCCCTTCTTGCACCCAACGCTTCAATTATATAAGGGAATGATACAAGATTAGATAAAATTAAGAATAGAACAGGTAAAATTAAATTTATTTTATAAAAGTATTCTTAGATTTTATTGTTTATAAATTTCGGTAATAAAAACAATATAAAACAAAATTTTTTTTATAAATTTGTTTGAGAAAAATAGTTTTTGCAATTAATAATGTAGTCATAAGCACAACAGCAAATATTAAAGTATTTTTAAATATTTTTCTATTTTGGAAATATTAAACTTAAAAAAAAATCTCAAAAATATACGACTTTCTTTTGTTAAATTAATTTCTTAATTGAATTTTATGAATTTATAAAGTTCAGGGAAGAAATATTTTATTTTACAATAAATTATTAGAGAAAATAAAAAGTTAAAAAAAATGAATATTAATTTAGAGATAGAAGTTTTTTTTTTTTAAAAAAAAGAATATTAAATTTGAATCGCTGAGTAAAAAACACCCTAGTTTAAAAAAAGAAAGATCAAAATCGGTCAATTTGTTCCAAAGTTACAGCAACTTTTGCGAATTTAAATGCCGACCGAATTCTATATTCTGACACGAGCGACTACAACGAGCCGCTGGGCTCCATCCCCCACTCCACGCGCTACATCAAGATAAATTCTTACCATGATTTTCATGTCCTCTTTTAATTATTAATAATGAATGGATAAATTTCACGATTTTTTATATTAAACTGCAGATTGTAATCTTCAAATCTGTAAGAAAAAAATTAAAAAATATTAATAAACAAATAATTGTCTGGATTTTTTTGAAAAAAAAATTATTTGTAATACCGTTCGAGCTAAATTAATCACTTTGGTCTTAAAAGTTGCAGGAAGATACCAGGAATAAAGTAGTTTTTATTCCGATTTTCTAAAATAAAATTTGACTGAGATATGCTTAATTGTTTATTGTGAAAAAATTGACCATTTTTAAAAATTTATTTTTTAGCAATAAAAGTTTTTTTTCATTCCGCAATACGTGTTATCAAAAATATAGACCCTTAAGAGTAAAATGCAACTTGAAAAACATTTTCTTAACGATTCACAAATTTGACAATCAATGCAAAAAAAAAGTTTGTTAATTAACAATCAGATTATGTAAAATCTATTAATCCGATTGGGTTAAAATTTTTTATGTTTATTAAGGGCCTCAAAAGCAATAATTTTACTAAGGGAAAGATTGATTTAGTAAGAATTAAATGAATTATAAAATATTTAAAAATCGTTTGACTTTTATGGTTTTAATTCTGTAACTCGTAAACAAATTGTTGAAAAATATCGTGTGACCTCTCATTTTTTAGATATTTTTAAGCTCTACAACTTTAAATAACAACTTTTTTCTCTAAAATTTCAATGGAAAGAATAATCCTTAAAAACAACTTCAAAAAAACTGATTTTGTCGTCTTAAAAGTTTTATAACAATAAACGCGCTTAGTGTAAGTTGGTGCAAACTGTTGGCCTTTGTTTCTATGCTACTAATCTATCAAAAAACGTTTTTGCCTATTGGGTTGCATTTATGTCACAAAATCGACCTTTTTTGACAGGGCGCCTGGACTAATCAGCGATCCCAGAAACCTTAGGGTACCAAGTTTCATAAAAATCCATTAAAAATTTTTTCAACACACTTTTGGCCCAAACAGTGGAAATCTCGTTGACAGCCAAGGGGTTAATTATTTCCTGCGTAAAATGTTAAGAAATGTAAAAAAAAATTTCTTGGTTAATGTTGAAAAAAAGTTACAATTAACAATAAAAAATTGTTCAAACATTTTTAAAATTTTATTAAATTAATACTGAATGTTTATATGTTAATTACACATTAAATTTTGAGTAAAAAACTCGAAGAAATATACTACAAATTGAATTTTTTCAATCATGTTCTTTTTCCAAAAGTTAATTAATTAGCGTATTGTTTATTTAATAAAAGTGTAATTATATAAAAAAATTTACTTCAGGAATACTAAAACATGATTTCTAATGTACTTAAAAAATTTTTAAATGTTAAAAACTTTATTTTATAGCAACATATCGATTTTTTCATACTTTGTTATAAACAAATAAATATAAATAAACAAAAATTAAAAAATCGGCCTGGAGGAATCGATAGAGAATTTAGTAACGAAGATTTAAAAAAAAAATTGCTTAATTTGAATGAAAATTGTGACCTCTAGACTGATTTTGACACAAAAAGTACATTTAGCCCTACTGTGGGGCGCCCTCAACGTCCACTCGTGTCACGAAAATTACCGTTAAGAAATGGCTGCCTTTATCCTCTTGTTGTTTAATATACTATTTTACAAAAAATGTAAAAAAAAAATTTTATAAAAGTATTTTGCAAAATAATTTTAAGTGTATAGAAATTTAAGTAGCGCGCTTAATTTATATGGGTGATTCTCCACAAAGTGGTAACTTTTAAATATGTTAAATTTTTTATGTAGATCTTTTCAATAAAGCTTGAGAATGATTATTTTATATATATTTGAACTTAATTCTTTCTTTAGTTTTATATACAAACAATTTAAAAATTTGTAATTTAAAGGTTAAATAATTTATTTGCAAAAGTTAATTTTCGACTGTTAATAATTATAAATAGTGCAGGCCTCGAACCGAGTACATAAATTAAGGAAAAGTACGTAATTTTGAATTTGGTACCTAAAAGTACGTAATTTTGACGAAAGGTCCGTAAAGTACGTAATTTTGACCATTTTGACTAAAAATCAAAATATGTATACAGATTGTGAATAAATATTTAGTGATGCCTTCTCTATTTTTATTCACATTCACTTTCCGATCAATCCGCTGACGGTGATCATTTTCAGAAACAGTGATTGGTCGAAAACGAAAGTCATAATTTGTTAATAAAGGGTTTATACCACTATGCATAGAATTGCGTTTTTAAATAGAGTAGTAGAGGCTTCGCCTCGGGCATCATTTCACGCGATGCAGGAATTTCGAACTTTTTGGCCGTGTAATGTATACTATTTTTCTTTATATCCGGCCGAAAGTACGCTTAATAATTTATTAATTACAAATCTTGCAATCGCGTTCGATTTGACAGCCGGCCATCTTTTACTTTTGCTCCCCGCTTCAGCGCCGCCATCGGCAACTCCTAAAGCTCTGGCTTTTTCTCTATCTCTCTCTAAAAGAAAGACGCCGTTATTGACTTTCGATGCCGGCCCCGACATTTGCTGCACGAGCGAAGCGAGTGCTGCTGGTCCGGGGGGGGCAGCATCGAAAAGACAAGCAAAATCTAAATATAACCCATTAACGCCCAGACGGACGAAAAATTTCAATTGACTTTGAGGACCTGGTTTATTACAACAATGGATACAAAAAAATTGACACATAATATTTTTAACGTAAAATTTACTCCTCTTTCAGATTCTGATGTTAAAATTTGTTTACAACAAATTGTTTAAAAGTTATAAACAATTTTTTCCAAAAAAACACGATTTTTGGAGATAAAAATTTCTTTTCAGACGTATTTTCACCGGAAAAATGCAAATGGATGCTCTCAAAAGATCAAAATATCGCGTCCATGGACCCTCAGCTACAAAACCCTGAAGATGCCAATTTTTTTTTTCAAAATGGCGGACGACAATATGGCGGCAAAAACTAAAAAAATGGCTCACATATGAAACATAGTGCTCTAACTCTTTTGAATCACCGAAATCGACTGAAACTCGATACTCGGGGGTTCTTGGGGTCGCTGATTACGAATATGATGTTATTTTTCCAAAATTCAAAATGGCGGATCCAATATGGCGGACAATTTTTTAAAAATGACTCTATATTGCTTGAAATTTGTTACTCGGGGGTTCTTGGGGTCGCTGATTACGAATATGATGTTCTTTTCCAAAATTCAAAATGGCGGATCCAATATGGCGGACAACTTTTTTAAAAATGACACTATATTGCTTGAAATTTGTTACTCGGGGGTTCTTGGGGTCGCTGATTACGAATATGATGTTATTTTTCCAAAATTCAAAATGGCGGATCCAATATGGCGGACAACTTTTTTAAAAATGACACTATATTGCTTGAAATTTGTTACTCGGGGGTTTTTGGGGTCGCTGATTACGAATATGATGTTATTTTTCCAAAATTCAAAATGGCGGATCCAATATGGAGGACAACTTTTTTAAAAATGATTCTATATTGCTTGAAATTTGTTACTTCGGGGTTTTTGGGATCACTGATTACAAATATGATCTTATTCTTCCAAGATTCAAAATGGCGGATTCAATATGGCGGACGAGATTGGTAAAAGTGACTTCATATTGCTTAAATTTTATGGTCCGTTTGCCGGCGAATAATTCGCCGTTGCCCGACTCTTACCGCGTGGAGGTGGACATAAAAGAGTCTTTTCTTTTTTTTTTTGTTTTTTTATTTCTTTTTTTGTTTTTTTATATACTTTTTTTTTATTTTTTTTATTTTTTTTGTTTATTTTATACTTTTATACTGTTATTTTTCCAAGAATTTTGTCAGTAGGTGCTTTTTAGGGTCGCTGATTACGAATTTTGTAGATAATAATATTGCTAATACAATTCGTAAATTATTTCAATCCTAATATAGTTGCAAGAAAGTTATAACATCAAAATATAATTCATTTTCTCATATATAATCTATATTACAAAAATATCAAAAGTTTTACCATTTTGTTATCTCAAATTTTATTACTATAGTACTGCTTATTGGTATTGCACCAGCATCGCTTGCATTACTAGTCATTTGTATTTTGCAAGGTAAATATTAAAAATGTCTACAAAGCGTAAGTCGAAGCGGCAAAAAGTTTTATCTGAGGCCGAATGTTTCGAAGTTGAGGAACATGATGAACATCTAGATGTGCTCATGCTACCAAACTCGAATGATTCTGGCGAATCTGATTGTGAATCTGATTCAGATGATAATTCTATAAATGAAGAGCTAGAAAATTTGTTTAGAAATGAGTGTGATGATTTACCGCAAAATTCATACCAGACAATACGAAAAAATTATACTCCAAATCAATCGAAGTTGGAGCCAGATCATATTTTTGAATGGGTTGACGGTGAAAAGAAGTATGATCCTCAATATAAAAATGAAACTTTTATATCTGACAGCGTTGCAAAAAAAATTCGGTCATCCTCGTCAACGGAACTATTCGAATATTTCTTTTCCATGGAGCTAAAAGAATTTATATTAGAAGCAACATGTAAGAATGATTGTCAAATTTCGATGACTGAATTAGACAAATTTCTTGGAATAATTATTTTGTCTATTTTTAACCAAAGGAAATCTCAAAGAGATTATTGGTCTCAGAATCATCTTCTGGCTTGTGATGCTGTAGCTAGAGCTATGAGTCGCAACAAGTTTGAAGATATCAAGTCCAAGCTGAAGCTATCTAAGCCTGGAGATGAAAATTCTGATGATAGAGCTTGGAGAGTAAGAGGTCCTTTGGAGATTTTCAAGAAAAATGTGAGGCAGTTTGGTTATTTTTCATCTGCTTTATCAGTTGACGAAATGATGGTAAAGTTTCGGGGAAGAACTATCTTGAAGCAGTTTATACGAAACAAGCCTGTCCGTTTCGGCATAAAAATGTGGGCTCTTTGCAGTTCCGAAGGGTTCTTATTCGATTGTGATATTTATTGTGGCAAGAATTCGAAAAGTTTTTTCTTCGGCAACGAAGAAAAACTGAATAAATGTGCCTTAGGTAGCTGCGTTGTCGTTGGTCTCCTCCAAAACCTTCTTTCTTCAGTTGTACCCAGAAATGTAGTGAAATATCACGTATATTTTGACAACTTTTTTACAAGTCCTGACTTACTGGTTCATCTGAAGAAAGTTGGTTTGCGGGCAACAGGAACAGTCAGAGCTAATCGAATTCAAGTAAAAAATCCGATTAGTGAAAAAGATCCAAGAGGCACATTTATCGCCAAGCATGACAAATGCAGTGGTGTCAATTATGTCACGGTGAAAGATTCAAAAGTAGTCTCTGTACTATCAACACTGGCAGGTGTTACACCAATGAGTTCAGTCAAGAGATATTCTTCGGAGGCAAAAAGCAAAGTGAATATAGCATTTCCTAATGCTTTTAAAACTTACAACAAGTTTATGGGCGGAGTAGACCTGCACGACGCACATTGTAGCAATTTAATGCCATGCATAAGGTCGAAGAAATGGACTTGGGTTGTACTCATGAGACTCGTTCAAGCATCAATCACGAATGCAACGGTATTGAGAAATTTAGTTGTTCTAGAAAAAAAAATTGGTACTAAAGACATGGCTATGCAGATTGCAGAGTCATACCTAAAAAAATCCGAATCTTTAAAAAACCACAAAGTTCGAAGAGTTGAACAAAAAAAAAACTGCGCTAATTTCTCCAAGTGCAGTTCTAGAACGCAACGAAAATGCGTTGAGTGTGACGCATATTTATGCGTTTCCTGCTTCCAGGATTCTCACTATTAAAAAGTATAAAATAAACAAAAAAAAACAAAAAAAAAAAATAAAAAACAAAAAAATATATAAAAAAACAAAAAAATAAATAAAAAAACAAAAAAATAAATAAAAAAACAAAAAAAAAAGAAAAGACTCTTTTATGTCCACCTCCACGCGGTAAGAGTCGGGCAACGGCGAATTATTCGCCGGCAAACGGACCATAAAATTTAAGCAATATGAAGTCACTTTTACAAAACTCGTCCGCCATATTGAATCCGCCATTTTGAATCTTGGAAGAATAACATCATATTCGTAATCAGCGACCCCAAAAACCCCGAAGTAACAAATTTCAAGCAATATAGAGTCATTTTTAAAAAATTGTCCGCCATATTGGATCCGCCATTTTGAATTTTGGAAAAATAACATCATATTCGTAATCAGCGACCCCAAGAACCCCCGAGTATCGAGTTTCAGTCGATTTCGGTGATTCAAAAAAGTTAGAGCACTATGTTTCATATGTGAGCCATTTTTTTAGTTTTTGCCGCCATATTGTCGTCCGCCATTTTGAAAAAAAAAATTGGCATCTTCAGGGTTTTGTAGCTGAGGGTCCATGGACGCGATATTTTGATCTTTTGAGAGCATCCATTTGCATTTTTCCGGTGAAAATACGTCTGAAAAGAAATTTTTATCTCCAAAAATCGTGTTTTTTTAGAAAAAATTGTTTATAACTTTTAAACAATTTGTTGTAAACAAATTTTAACATCAGAATCTGAAAGAGGAGTAAATTTTACGTTAAAAATATTATGTGTCAATTTTTTTGTATCCATTGTTGTAATAAACCAGGTCCTCAAAGTCAATTGAAATTTTTCGTCCGTCTGGGCGTTAATGGGATAACTACAATTTTAACAACTAAATAATTAATTGCAATAAATGCCAAAGGAATAAATGAATGTAATAAAAAACAACCTTCTAATATAAAATATCAGTTTTTGTCACAACTAAAAAAAAATTAATTAATTCATCAAAATTAATAAATGTCGGGAGCAGGTATCGAAAAACCATATGTAAATAGACAAATATATAGCTAACATTTTTTTTAAAGAAATAGTCAATTTTTAAAACCTTTTCTTTATTTCTTATACTATAAATAACAAATGTAATTAAGTTTTTTTATTTATTAATTGTATTAACTATTTTTCAAATCTGATAGAGTACAAAAATTATTTATAATTTTTTTATGAAATATACAATTTATGTATTTGATACATAAATTTTTGTTTACATCAAAATTGAGATCATATTGAATGTTCTCTACGATATTCAAAGATTCTAAAGTTTTACATTTTGATTCATTTTTTCTTAAAGTAAAGCACCAGAAAAAAAAACAATAAGCTTTTAGGTTAACTGTCAATCCCTATACGTCTGGATCACTCGCGCTTTAAATTCTCTGCCGGTAATGCAGAACAGCTAACAGCTTTTGCTCCCGCTGTATCAGAGGGCGAGCTTGTGCATCGACCAATGCACAAATCTTCGACTTTCTGCTGCGAAATCGAAGCAGAAAATACGTACTTTCGACCGAGGTATGAAGAAAAATTATTTTGTCTATAATTACTATATATATAGAATATTAAAAATTTCTAGATAGATTCGTGTAAACAGTTGAACTTGGCTTTACCATTATAGAAACAATAAAAACTCTAGTTTTCCAAGACAAATTTCCACACGGTGTAGTTTTAAGTCTAAAAATTATATTTCTTTTTGCAAATTTAACATAAATACAACTTGTTAAAAGTCAGTTTTTGGATTGTAAATTTTTTAGATTTATCTTTAACTATTGAAGAAAACAAAATTGTAACAAATTGGTATAAAAAACCTATTTATTCCGGTCGCTATATAAACTTTTAATCAAAACACTGTTTAAAATATAAAATCAGTGTCATTTACGCCATTGTTGACCGCGCAATAAAATTATAAAATTTAAAATTTCATTTAAAAAATTTAAACATTGTAAAAAATATATTAATAAATAATGGATATCCTAAATACTTAATAGATAAGAAAAATAATAAAAGATATAATAAAATCATAAACAATAACGTTAATAAATCAAATAGGGTCATTTGGGGTAAATGTAAACAGTAGATGTTTCAGCTAAATTTACAAATTTAAAAATAAGTACGACGTCAATATTTTTACCTCAGCTCACCTACAAGATGTTCTGAGTATTGCTAATATTTTATTTTGACAATTGGCAATGCCATAGTGTAAGTTATCTTTTAATGCAATAAAGATTGAAAATCAAAATTTTACTGTTTCAGTATTTTGTCTCGCATTTGCATAAAAATAAATTTAAAAATCAAACAAAAATAAGTAATTCTTCCTTATTAATGCCCTAACAAAAATTAACTTTAATTTTTGATTTTCGTAAACTTACTTAATAAATAATTAAGTGTTTACATTTACCCCGAGAATTCCAAAACTCGGGGTAAATGTAAACAGAACTTGAACTACATTTTAAAAGAAAATAATTGAATAAATTTGCTTCTACTTCACAATTTCATTAATTTGGCAATGTAAAATTATATAGAAAAGGAAATTAGGTCCTCTTTGAAAAAAAAATTTGATAAAAAAAAAAAATTTTTTTTTTGAAAATTTGATCAATTTTTAAAAATATTTTTAGGTTTATCCGTCATTTTGAAAATTTAAAATTTGACTTCAACCCCCCTATCCCCATGTTTTTGGGGTCGCTGAATCCGAATATGACCATGAAAAATTTTTTTCATCGGCCATTTTCCCGCTACCACCCCCTTACACCTGCTCCCGGGGGTTGAAATTTCAGTTTAAAAAAAAGTGGAGTAGGGTGTCTATTCCTGTGTTTTTTGGGTCGCTAAAACCAAAAAAGACTACCAAAAACAAATTCTTCCCTCCCTTAACCCCCTACAACCCCCTTAACATCCGAAAGGTGGGGGGTCGAAATTCGAATTTCACGAAAAGTCGATTACGGTGTCTAAACCTACGTTTTTTGGGTCGCTGAAACCAAAAAAGACTACCAAACTCAAATCCTTTCCTCCCCCGACCCCCTACAACCCCCTGCAATAATTTTTTTCAAATAAAACAAACCTATTTTTGGGAAATTGAAAATTAAATATTAATTATCAAAAATTATTGCAGGGGGTTGTAGGGGGTCGAGGGTGGAAAGGCCTTGATTTTGGTAGTCTTTTTTGGTTTCAGCGACCCAAAAAACGTAGGTCTAGACACCGTAATCGACTTTTCGTGAAAATTCGAATTTCGACCCCCCACCTTTCGGATGTTAAGGGGGTTGTAGGGGGTTAAGGGAGGGAAGAATTTGTTTTTGGTAGTCTTTTTTGGTTTTAGCGACCCAAAAAACATAGGAATAGACACCCTACTCCACTTTTTTTTAAACTGAAATATCAACCCCCGGGAGCAGGTGTAAGGGGGTGTTAGCGGGAAAATGGCCGATGAAAAAAATTTTTCATGGTCATATTCGGTTTCAGCGACCCCAAAAACATGGGGATAGGGGGGTGTGACCTCTGGGTTTTGACTTTTTTATTTTTTTGTGTGCCTGTGTTATCAGTCAACTGGTTGATTTACTATACATCTACGAAGAATTTTTTATCAGTTTTTCCATCCCTTAAAACAGTAGTATACTTGAAATAACTTGTTTCTTAAACCTCGCTTAACTACAGTGGTGTTTACATTTACCCCGAATTTGAGGAAAATTTCAAAATCTCGGGGTAAATGTAAACAGTCAGTTTTAGACGATTCAGGTGCATAAGGTACAAAGAAATATTGATTTCTTTGTACCTCATAAAATTTTTCTAGGGAACACTAGCAACAAGTTCATGCAAAAGAAATCCGCCCGTTTTACCTTTTAACAAAAAAAACTAATATTTTTGGTGAAACATAGATATTCCGTTTACATTTACCCCAATTGACCCTAAACAAATTAATGAAATAAATAACAAAACAATAATATCTTTACCATATATGGAACAATTAGAAAACATCTTTTATAATATTTTTAAAAAATTTAATATTTCAATTGTCTTTTCCATGGACAATACTTTACAAAAACAATTTTCAATATCGGTTAAAGAAAATCAAATAAATACTATCTATCAGGTTCCATGTTTTCATTGTAATAGTGTTTACATTGGAGAATCTCGTAGATATTTGAAAAGAAGAATGTACGAACATGCCCGATCGACGAGAGCAAAAAATGACACAGGCAATACAGCCTTATCTTTACATGCAAAGGACTTAAAACACAATTTTGATTTTAACAAAGTTAAAGTTTTAGAAACGAAACAAAATGAAAATAAAAGACGTTTAATAGAGTTAATTTATATCATAAAAAATAAAAATTCAATAAATTTTAAAAGTGATATTCAAAATATAAGTAAAATTTATCAAGGTTTTCTTAATAATTGAACTTAAAATTAATTAATTATAAATTAAATTCAAATTCAGCAAAACTTGAATTTTATTTGATTATAACCTCCAAGGCATCTATGAACCGGGCTTCACTATAAGATAACTGGGAATCTCTCATAATTTCATAATCTATGGTAATTATCTGCTAACTTCACTCTGAGAGACTTTATCAAAAAAACGGTTATGATTTTAATCATAATTTTTTACTAATTTTATTTATTTAAATATGTAGTGGTGGTGGTGAGGAGTTGTTTCTCAACTCCTAAAATAAATTAAACATGCTTTACCACGTATGTATTCTCACGTTTCTGTTATGAAAAGAAAATTTCTTTCAATGATTGTAATTTATAATTTTTGTGATTAATAACATATAATTTTTATAATTGAATGTAATTTTTTAGAATGTTTTCTCTTAAAAAGGATGGTAGCTACCATCAAAACGTCGAGACAATTATATTAATAATAAATATGTTGACTAACTAAAAATTGTCTTTAAAATTTTTTAATGGAAAATTTGGATTCTTTGGCCTAAACCTCAAAACACAAATTATAAAACACAAAAAATAATACTTATT